TAAACTTTTAATTTTTTCAAAATCATACCTAACGTTTAGTTTTCATTTCATTTTAATACTCGTCGTTAAAAACTTAATGTGTTTAGTACATAAACTATCAGTTTTTGTCTGTTTTAGTACCTAAACTTTTGATTTTTTCAAAATCATACCTAACAATTAGTTTTCATTTCATTTTAGTATCCTGCCGTTAAAAAATTAATGTCTTTAGTACCTAAACTATCAGTTTTGGTTTGTTTTAGTACCTAAACTTTCAATTTTTTTCAAAATCATACCTAACGTTTAGTTTTCATTTCATTTTAGTATCCGTCGTTAAAAACTTAATGCGTTTAGTACATAAACTATCAGTTTTTGTGTGTTTTAGTACCTAATTTTTTATTTTTTTCAAAATCATACCAAACGTTTAGTTTTCATTTCATTTTAGTATCCCGTCGTTAAAAAATTAATGTGTTTAGTACCTAAACTATCATTTGTAGTTTGTTTTAGTACCTAAACTTTCAAAAAAATTCAAAATCATACCTAATGTTTAGTTTTTATTTCATTTTAATATTCGTCGTTAAAAACTTAATGCGTTTAGTACCTAATCTATCAGTTTTGGTATGTGTTTAGTAACTAAACTTTTAATTTTTTCAAAATCATACCTAACGTTTAGTTTTCATTTCATTTTAGTACTCCGCCGTTAAAAAATTAACACTTTTAGTACCTAAACTATCAGTTGTGGTTTGTTTTAGTACCTAAATTTTCAATTTTTTTTTCAAAATTATACCTAACGTTTAATTTTCATTTCATTTTAATAACCGTCGTTAAAAATTTAATGCGTTTAGGGAGAAGTGGGGTGCTATTAAATAACAAAAAGTTCAATACATCTGAGATGGACCCCCCCTTTAGATTTTGACACCTCCAACTTCTTCAAAATAACGTCTCCAATTTCTTTACTTAATTTGATATTAAAAATCTTTACTTTACTGCACAAACAAACTTGCCTCACCGGTAATTGTTGATATTATTAGAGGTCATAGATTCGAACATCGACGACCGCAAGAATGATTGAATGTTTATTTTCAAATAATTGAGAGTAATTAGAAAATTTATTACTTTATAATTACCTTTTAGCTTTTTAATAAAAAATATTTACTTTACTTGATGTAAAAAAAATTCTAATAAAGTTTATGTGAAAAATATCAACTTTGCATGATATATGTATGTGACGTATGAAAAAATATGAAAGAAATATATAGGTATATAGTGTATGATTATAAAAATATGTTTAAATTAATATCATTAATTACCATAACATTAGAAATATTTACAATTAAGTTTAAAATAAAACTCGAACAACTCTATTTGAATTAAAAAAATTCAAATAAAATCTTACTTATAAAATAAATTTTTTTTCTTCTATGGGGACTACCAGAATTGAAGAGCACATACTGGGATGCCCTACCCTTCCCATGTCTGAAACGTATTGAAATAGTCTTTTGTCCTGAACTGAAGAAGCTTCCTCTCAACTCTGACAGCGCGAAAGGGAATCACATCACCATTGAAGGAAGCCAAGATTGGTGGGAACAGCTAGAATGGGAGAATGAAGCCACTCGAAATGCTTTTATGCCATCTTTTCAAGCCATTTGACGGAAGAGATCAATTTAAATAAAAAGAGGTAATAATTGGGTAGTCTACTTGTATAGTTTATCCTTTATTTTAAATAAGGTATCTTTAAATTTTTAACTAATTTATAATTATAAATTGAGTCCTTGAGAATTTAAATTTTTATAAATTAAATTAACATGACCTTTGCAGCGTTTTATGTTCACAAACGCCGCGGGCTTCTTGCGGCGTTGCTTTCACCAGGGCTTCTTGCGGCGCTTTTACTATCGCCAACCATGAAAGCTTTTAGTGACGCTTAAAAACGCTACTATAGGACTAAAAAACTCCACAAAAAGTATATTTTGTTGTAGTGGTGACAAATAAGAACTATAATAATCTTATTAAAAATATTTTTTTAACCGTTTGTGTGATTATAAAATAGTATTTATTTATAATTTTATAGTATAATAATAATGTACACATCACGATAACACAATTACTCAAATATAAATTCTGAAAAAAATATAACTCAATTCGATAAATTCATAAACAATTTCCAAATATAAGTTCCATGGTCAAAAGGATTGACTTTGAGCAATTGGTGATGTGATGAGGAATGATCGTTCCTCAATTGAATTTTTTTTATGGGTTTTCCCATTTTTTTCCATTATGAAATGATGTTATCCAAATAAAAGAAAAGGACAAAGATGAAGTGATAAGGTGATCATGTGGAGATTAGAGATTTTGAGATGAGATGAAATGAAATCAGTGACGGAGCCATGTAGCCCCGGGGCCACTGCCCTCCAAAAATTTTTTACCATTAAAAAAATAGAGATAATTATCAGTTTAGATCTTTAAATTTTAATTTATTTTGATTTTGTCCTCATTTTCTATTATTAGTTATACTTTGTCCCCTGAATTAAAATCTTGGCTCGATCCGGAATGAAACCCAGTTATTTCTGTGCTATCTTTTTGTTTTAGCCCTTCAGTTTCCTAAATAATCTTCCACTGTCATCTTCATGGATTAGATATTATTTCCCAGATTTTCTCTCTATATACTAATTCAATTCTTTCACCTTTTCTAACCAAAAGTTCTCTCCTTTTTCATCATTGTATCTTGGGAACAAAAGAGTATTCTCCATTGGAAGAAAATGCACCAATCTTTACATCTCCAACTCAACCCTTTTCATCATCCAATCGATTGAGAGGTACAGTGTTTGTATTCATGGATCGGTCGAGGGGAGTTCGGGATGATCACTACTGAAATTTTTAAATTTTCATATAGTTTAATTATTTTTTATATTTTTTTTATTGATGATTTAATTCCGTCCTAAAATTTTATGATTCGTAGGTGGCATAAAATTAGGGTTATTTTCATGTCTAAAGTTGTGTGCTTTTCAATGCAGCTAGTAGCTTTATGGGTATCTCATTGCCCAGTAATTCTCCAAAGTTGAAGAGATCAGTCAAGATTAGTGGAGAATTAGTGCTGCTGCTACTGTTACATAAGGTCCCATGGAAGATATTAAAGAGTATGGACTCCCAACTTCCTTCTATTGATTCATTTTTCTTACAAAAAGTTGTAGGTGAGATTTGAACCCGAGACACCTCGAAGTTCTCGGGATGTCTTGCTTGTAGTTTACGGCAAGCCAAGAACTTGTAGGGGTGGAAAATGGAGGAATTCATCCTCTCCAAGTGTGTTAATGTTACATGTTGAACTTAAATGTGCCTCTCAGGTATACGGTTCCTTCGTGGGCGATGTTCGAACTGGGGAAGGCTCCTGTTTATTGGAAAACGATGAACGGTCTTCCTCCGACTTCCGTAAGTGCGCCATTGCTACGTTTTTGATGTCATGTTGCTTGAGCTATACTCTTTAGTCTTTTTTGAATGACGGAGAGAAGCTGAAGCTTTTCTACAATCCAGCAGCAAGCAAACTTGCTCCAAATGAAGACTTTGGGATTGCTTTTAATGGTTATTTCTCATACTCTTGCCCCTTTAGCTTTACTAATGTGATAAGAAGTACAGTCCATTGCTCGGTGACGAAACGAACACGAACCTGTCGAAAACTCAAAATTACTCAAACATGAAATGATTTGAACTCAAAAAAATCAGAGTCCGATATGAGCCTGTGACTTGATGAATTTGTAACTCTGCAGGAGGTTTCAATCAGCCTATCATGTGTGGTGGTGAACCGAGACAAATGCTGAGGAAAGCTATAGGCAAAGCTGATAGTCCAATATACACCATACAAATATGTATTCCTAAGCGTGGTATGTATGTTTCATAGATTTCAATTTTCTTTCTTGTGAATTTCCGATTTCTTTTTCCGTTTGATTTCCGATCGATCACTTGTCATCATCTTCTCTAGTTTTATTTGGCAGCTGTGAACTTGATATTCTCATTCACAAATGGAGTTGATTGGGATGGTCCTTACAGACTACAGTTTCAAGTTCCAAAGGCATGGCAAAGCAGACCAATTGAATTCTTTAACCAGGTAAAATATGTTTGTATTCAATGCATATTTCGATATGGACATGAAAATATGATCTAAGCTTTCGAAATGCATGAAAGTTTGGAAAATTTTGAATATACTCGTATTCGATTCGACACGCACACCTTAATCCGAATATCGTGGTAACAGGGGCTAGCAGGGGAGCTGAGTAAAGAAGGTGCATGTGACAGCAATATTTCCAGACACAAGTATTGTTGTGGATAGATGTGTGATGATTGGTAACTTGTCCAAGGAAGGAGTAAGTAAAAAAGAAACCTGTGTTATTTCATCTGTTTTCTTCCTCATAAGGTGAAGCATCAAGTTCATTTATGAAAATTCGTAAATCCTCGACTCCATTTGCAGGGCGATCGTTGCAGTCTTGATCTGGTTCTGGGATGCATGGACACGAACTCACACCCGTACAACCCTCTGGCCATGTAGACGACGACTCGTTTCCTATTGATTCCGATGCTTGAGACTAGTTGTTAGCCAGTTGCATCTCTTGTGCGTCTTAAATTACTCCTTGCAGTTCTCAAGATTAAAATGAAATGGTAGTTGTATAGAATGTAGATGATGGAGTCATCAACAGTGTTACAAAACAATAGAGGATTGGACCGATCAATTGAACCGAATATCAATTGTTTACCCGGTTTGATATGTCCAACCAAGAATCTTTGATTCGGTTAAGAACCGGAAAAAAATTGAACTCTCTCATCGAGTATCTAGTAGTATTACAACCCAAGACTCGAACTAAAATCATATCAATAGATGGAGTACTCTAGTTTAATAACATTCACCATTTGGAAGGATACCATCAAACACAAGTGCACAGAAGCTGATTATAAAAGCAGTATCTTTTTCTTCAAAATTCGAAGATCTAAGAACATGTTCATTGACAATACTATTACTAGTTCCTCCCTATTGATTATGCTTACTTCATTTGTACCTCACGTAAGAGCAGCTTTTTTCCTGCTCTCTATATACTTGCCCGCGAGCGAATCGAATAAAATCCCGGCACCGACGCCAACCGCCAAATCAATCGTGTAGTGACCCCTTGTACCGGGCAATCTCATGGCTTGAAGCACATTGAGTGTGTCGAATAACCATGCCAATTCCCATCTCTGCATTCTCCTCATGTCCAACGATGCAATCACCGATCCAGCAACGTGGCCGGAGAAGAAGAGGAAAAATGAGACATTCCCTACAGGAAAATCCATCCCTGACCCTACAAATTCCTGCCATTCATCAAAGCTTCAAACGTTAGCGCTTATATCAAAACCATATGTATGTATACCAATGTTTCAGATCAGAATATTTCAAACCATGAAAATTTTACACAAGCAGCTGACCAATCAGATAGTTTCGTTTTCCCAACCGGATAGCATTATGCAGACGGTCTGGTATTGTGCTCTTTGGAATAGCCACCCAAGGTTGGAACCCAAAACCAAACCTAAGGTAGCAAAGCTTTAAGGCACTAGTAGGTGCTCAAACAAGACAATACCGAATCGCGAGCACGTTGCTATGATGCTACGGGGAGAATGAAAATATTCAATCAACTGGCGGGTCGTGACAGAAATAGATTAAGAGTTAACCTGAGGTAATGGGAGCTGCGTCGAGTAACCAAGGATCCCACGACAAGTGAACATGAACAAAGCAGAAATCGTCGCCCTTGGTCGACCCTCAACCAACCAGGTCCCTATTATATACACCGATTGCATCCCAACAACACCTATCAAACATATAAGCAGAGTTCATCAGACCATTAATCTAGCAAAAATTAAAGCCCTTACCTCTTCAGATCTTCACATTTCTACTTAACTTCATGTTAATTTTTATAGAAAACTTTAGATATTTTTAGCATGCAATTACATCAGACTAACATAGTGGGCACGCCTGATCCAGAGGGTATGTCTGCTGTTGCTGTTGATTTTTTCACTAACCTAGTGGGCACGCCTGAGAGGGTATGTCTTCTGTTGCTGTTGATTTTTCACTAACCTAGTGGGCACGCCTGAGAAGGTATGTCTTCTGTTGCTATTGATTTTTTCACTAACCTAGTGGGCACACCTGATCCAGAGTTCCGTGGGGTTAGTGTAAATATTTTGTTAGGATTTGCTCCAGTATGTGTTGCCTGCTGGTGATTTTGAGTCTCTTTGTCGGGAGGTTTTGCTTCTGAAATCAAAGAAGCTATTTTCATTCGGGGAAGTGACGAGGGTCCTGGACCTGATGGGTATACTTTATTTTTCAAAGTTGCCTGGCCTGTTGTGGGAGAGGATTTTGTTTCTGTTATTCGGTTTTTCTTCTCTTTCACGTGTATTTTGCCTTCTTTTAATGCCACTGCTCTGATCCTTGTTCCTAAGGTCTCTAATCCGTGTTTGCCTAAGGATTTTAGACCTATTTCCTGCTGCTCTTTGGTGTATAAGACTGTTAATAGGATTTTGGTTGGCAGACTTGCCCCTTTGTTTCCTAATATGATTGTTTTTAATCAAACTACTTTTGTGAAAGGTAGGTATATTGTTGAACACATGAATCAATTAAGGGTTATGCTAGTAAGTCGCTTTCGCCTAGATGTGCTCTGAAGGTTGATCTTCAGAAGGCTTTAGACACGTTGAGTTGGGATTTTATTTTGACTGTGCTTGAGGCTTTGGGTATGCTTGATCAGTTTAGGGGATGGGTTGCAGCTTGTTTGACCACTCCTAGGTTCTCGATTGTTCTAAATGGCAGTCTCGTTGGGTTTTTTAAGGGTGGTAGGAGCATCAGGCGAGGATTAAGTGTGTTGGAGCAATTTTATTTGTGGTCTCGATTGTGCTGATGACTTATTTTTTGTAAGGGCTCTCTTAGTTCTGTTATTGGGATTAAGTATGTGTTGGAGCAATTTTATTTGTGGTCTGGATTGAGGCTTAATACTGTCAAAAGTATTAATTGCAAGTTGCTTAATTGAATGCATTTAAATAGTTGAATGATTTGATTGACAAAATTTCAAAAATATTGGTCAAAATGAAATGAGACAACATTTAGGTGATCTACTTGTATAGTTTACCCTTTATTTTAAATAAGGAATCTTTAAATATTTAACTAATTTATAATTATCATTGAGTCCTTGAGAATTTAAATTTTTATAAATTAAATTAACATGACCTTTTGTAGCGTTTTGTGTTCACAAACGCCGCTAACTTTTGTGGTGCTGCTTTGACCAGGGCTTCTTGCGGCGCTTTTACTATCGCCAACCAGGAAAGCTTTTAATGGCGCTTAAAAACGTTGCTATAAGACTAAAAAAGCCACTAAAAGTTTATTTTGTTGTAGTGATGACAAGAACTATAATAATCTTTTTAGAAATATATATTTTTATTTTTATTTAATAATTTATGTGATTATAAAATAATATTTGTTCATAATTTTATAGTATAGTAATAACGTACACACATCATGTTAACACAATTACTCAAATATAAATTCTGAAAAAAAATGTAATTGTTCATTTTATATTCGATAAATTTAGAAATAATTTCCAAATATAAGTTCCATGATCAAAAGGATTGACTTTGAGCAATTGGTGATGTGATGAGGAATGATCGTTCCATGGCTCCGGGGGCCACTGCCCCTCCACCAATTTTTTTTACTATTAAAAAAATATTTAAATTTTGATTTATTTTGATTTTGTCCCTATTTTCTATTATTAGTTATACTTTGTCCCTGAATGAAAATCTTGACTCGGTCCTGAATGAAACCCAGTTATTTCTGTGCTATCTTTTTGTTTTAGCCCTTGAGTTTCCTAAATAATCTTCCACTGTCATCTTCATGGATTAGATATTATTTCCCAGATTTTCTCTCTATATACTAATTCAATTCTTTCACCTTTTCTAACCAAAAGTTCTCTCCTTTTTCATCATTGTATCTTGGGAACAAAAGAGTATTCTCCATTGGAAGAAAATGCACCAATCTTTACATCTCCAACTCAACCCTTTTCATCATCCAATCGATTGAGAGGTACAGTGTTTGTATTCATGGATCGGTCGAGGGGAGTTCAGGATGATCACTACTGAAATTTTTAAATTTTCATATAGTTTAATTATTTTTTATATTTTTTTATTGATGATTTAATTCCGTCATCCTAAAATTTTATGATTCGTAGGTGGCATAAAATTAGGGTTATTTTCATGTCTAAAGTTGTGTGCTTTTCAATGCAGCTAGTAGCTTTATGGGTGCCTCATTGCCCAGTAATTCTCCAAAGTTGAAGAGACCAGTCAAGATTAGTGGGAGAATTAGTGCTGCTGCTACTACTGTTACAAAAGGTCCCATGGAAGATATTAAAGAGTATGGACTCCCAACTTACTTCTATTGATTCCTTTTTCTTACAAAAAGTTGTATGGTGAGATTTGAACCCAAGACCTCGAAGTTCTCGGGATGTCTTGCTTGTCGTTTACGACAAGCCAAGAACTTGTAGGGGTGGAAAATGGAGGAATTCATCATCTCCATGTGTGTAAATGTTACATGTTGAACTTAAATGTGCCTCTCAGGTATACGCGTCCTTTGTATGCGATGTTCGAACTGGGGAAGGCTCCTGTTTATTGGAAGACGATGAACAGTCTTCCTCCGACTTACGTAAGTGCGCCATTGCTACTTTTTGATGTCATGTTGCTTGAGCTATACTCTTTAGTCTTTTTTGAATGACAGGGAGAGAAGCTGAAGCTTTTCTACAATCCAGCAGCAAGCGAACTTGCTCCAAATGAAGACTTTGGGATTGATTTTAATGGTAATTTCTTATACTCTTGTCCCTTTAGCTTTACTAATGTGATAAGAAATACAGTCCATTTCTCGGTGACGAAACGAACACGAACCTGTCGAAAATCCAGAATTACTCAAACATGAAATGATTTGAACTCAAAAAAATCAGAGTCCGATATGAGCCTATGACTTGATGAATTTGTAATTCTGCAGGAGGTTTCAATCAGCCTATCATGTGTGGTGGTGAACCGAGAGTCCGAGACAAATGCTGAGGAAAGCTAGAGGCAAAGCTGATAGTCCAATATACACCATACAAATATGTATTCCTAAGCGTGGTATGTATGTTTCATAGATTTCAATTTTCTTTCTTGCAAACTTTTCGATTTCTTTTTCCGTTTGATTTCCGATCGATCACTTGTCATCATCTTCTCTAGTTTCATTTGGCAGCTGTGAACTTGATATTCTCATTCACAAATGGAGTTGATTGGGATGGTCCTTACAGACTACAGTTTCAAGTTCCAAAGACATGACAAAACAAACCAATAGAATTCTTTAACCAGGTAAAATATGTTTGTATTCGATGCATATTTCGATATGGACATGAAAATATGATCTTCTAAGCTCTCGAAATGCATGAAAGTTTGGAAAATTTTGAATATACTCGTATTCGATTTGACACACACACCTTAATCCGAATATCGTGGTAACAGGGGCTAGCATGGGAGCTGAGTAAAGAAGGTGCATGTGACAGCAATATTTCCAGACACAAGTATTGTTGTGGATAGATGTGTGATGATTGGTAACTTGTCCAAGGAAGGAGTAAGTACAAAAGAAACGTGTTATTTCATCTGTTTTCTTCCTCATAAGGTGAAGCATCAAGTTCATATATGAAAATTCGTAAATCCTTGACTCCATTTGCAGGGCGATCGTTGCAGCATTGATCTGGTTCTGGGATGCATGGACACGAACTCGCACCTGTACAACCCTCTGGCCATGTAGACGAAGGCTCGTGTCCTATTGATTCCGATGCTGAAGACTACTTGTTAGCCAGTTGCATCTCTTATGCATCTTAAATTACTCCTTGCAGTTCTCAAGATTAAAATGAAATGGTAGTTGTATAGAATGTAGATGATGGAGTCATCAACAGTGTTACAAAACAATAGAGGATTGGACCGATCAATTGAACCGAAAATCGATTGTTCATCTGGTTTGATATGTCCAAACAAGAATATTTGATTCGGTTAAGAACTGAAAAAAATCGAAATCTCTCATCAAGTATCTAGTAGTACTACAACCCAAGACTCGAACTAAAATCATATCAATAGATGGAGTAGTCTAATAACATTCACCATTTGGAAGGATATCATCAAACACAAGTGCATGCTTATTGAAAATAACTAATGAATCACATGAGGTAGAAGAATTTGTGAAGATGCACGATGTCATCTGTGACATGTGTTTGTAGATAGCATGCGAGTTTGAAGAGAATCAAGAATATCTTGATGATGACTTCGGCGGTAGGTTAATTTTTGGCACGTTTTAACTTAAAACATTACATGTCTACTCAAACTTTAAATCATTGGTAATAATTTCGGTTAAAAACAAAACTATCTTGACTGTAACTTTTTAGAGTTACCCGAATCCGACGGGTTCCGACCCGACTCGACACAACCGGGTTGGATATTTTTTTTAAAAAAAAAATCAGGTTTTTTAAAGGCGATGTTTGGGTCGGTCTGGTTCGGGTTTAGGATGAAAAATATCTGATCTGACCCGACCAAAAAAATATAATTTTACCTTATATATTTAAGAATAATTACAATAATACTCCTCTAAATATTATTTTTTCAATTAAATTCCTATTTTTATTGAATAAAAATATATTTTTATTATTTCAAGTCGGGTCGAATTTGATTCAAGTGAAGAGTTTATATTTTTCGAGTCTGATCAAATCAAGTAGGGTGTGAAATTTTCTATTCAAGTTAAGTCGGGTGAAGTGTGTGAAATTTTTAGAAAATCCGCGCCTTCAAGGAAAAATCTTCTCTCTTCTCTAAAAGTGTATTAAATAAGGAAATATTTGAAAAATTACGATTGATCGAGAATATTTTATTTTTAGGGTGATTTTTGGGGGACCCTTCAAATAACATTAGGAGTTGATCAATATCGTTGATTAAGCTCGTTTCGAAAAAATGGATAAGTTGACTTGATTTGTCCATTGTAAAAGATCTAATCCGCTGGCAGAGGATACGTCGTTGGGTTTCGAGAACTTTTTTTATGGGTTTTGTTGCAGACAAAGTAAAAGATGTTCCAATGGGTTTGGAGCTTGAAGAAGTAATATAGAAAAGTATTTCTTTTTGGAAGATTATATAAATTTTGCTATAAAATAAAAATTACACGTGAAAAAGAAATTATTGGAGGGACACAAAAGAGACACACAAAAGGGTAGCGGATTTTTGTTCTTATTTTGCAGGTTCA